TCTTTTATGCCTATCCTGTACAGGTGTGTTCGAAGACCACAGTGTCCAGTCCGAAGTCTAAAAATTGATGTTTGTTCTTTCCTGTTGAGTTTTTTTATGCTGTCACTCTCTGGTCTGTAATCTCTATTCTGCTTTCTCCACTCCCGCTTGAAAGACTGCTTTAGCGCTGTTTTGGTTTCCTTGTAGCTGTGTGGTGGATGAGGTTGTGGAAGATTACTCCCAACTGTTGCCAACTCATCTGCTCTCTCATTTCCTTGAATACCACAGTGGGCTGGTATCCACTGCAAGACCAGTTCTGCTTCCTTGGAGAGTAAGCCAATGTTGGTCATTAGATCTGCAATTAGTTTGTTGCATCTGCCTAAGAGGCAAGGAACCAACAGTCGGCATACAAATAACAAGATCTGTAAAATGGATGCACACACAAAACTCAGGCCCTGGAACAAAGCCAAAGTCCAAAAAATGGACAAGCAACCAAGTCTTTCCATCAGGGTTTACAGCCAGTGAACGCAAACAAGCAACCAATTATATTGCTCTGAATAGTTACATTTAAATGTTTTAACAATAGTGCCTGTCTGTCTGTAACTGGCGCATTCAGACATTTTATTAGAATTTTCCAATTTATTCTGTCTTCTTCTGTGACTAATAAATTTACTAATGGGCATACCATATCCATGGGAGTCCCTGTGGCAGAGCGGCTAGACATGCGCCGCGGATTGGAATGTTATGGGTTCACTCCCTGGCGGAGCCGGACTTTTCTTAAAAAATGACCTCCCAGGTCATTGAGTGGGTACCGGGGAAGTAGAGGTGACTGGCGTGATGATGACCACATCACCCATCTTGTGCCGTTGGTGTATAAAATATAGGTCTAGCCCTATATGCCCTATACGTCTAAAGGCGTGGAAAAGAGTCCTTTACTTTTTTTTTTCACTTACTCTACCATACCCATGGATGCTCCATCTTGACTTGTTCAGTTTTGTTGTGGTTGCCAATAACGTTAGGCCTATTTACCAGCTTTGGTACTGTTTTTGACTGCATAAAAAAACTGCACTTGAAGGATTTTGAAAAGTAATTGTGACATGATGATGATTCAGGAACTGGCTATTGGACACTGTAGAATCAAAAATGTAAAACCTGATTCATGACAATTTACACCCAGGTGATGTGATTATATATTCTGATGGTTCTGTGTTGAGAGGCAGAAGATTTGCATGGGGTGGGGTGGGGTCCTAGCAACGGTTGAACTGTTAACTTTTTGTTACTAAGTGCAAAAAAAGCCTGGCAAATGATAACCACAAAATCTCATCTAGTTTGAGAATGAAGGTGAAGGCAGTCACTACAGTGTTCTGCTAGAGTGACAACATGCACACATATTATGCCTGGCAACAGACTCATAAAGCATGCTGAGAAAGGTGAAAACATGTATGCTCCATGCATACTGGCAAACATTGATTCAGAGATCCCAGGTACCTATTGTCCTTTAGACATTTTCTCCAAGGTATTCAGGTGTGTTGGGAAAAGACAGGCATACATACTGGCTGGTTCTGCATCACTTGGTGCATGACAAGCTGGGTGTGGCCAAGGCCCTTCAGAAGTGAGTAAGTGAGTGAGCAGTGCAGATGCACAAATAAATCATCATGGACTGAAGAGAATGATCCAGCTTGGGGTGAGCAGGGGATCTGGCTGACACTCAACACTCGGGAAAAAAGGCGGGTTTGATATACAAACAAAATTCTACTGGTATCATCAAAATCATACCTCTGCACCTGGGAAGGCTAACCCGGTCAACAAATGCATGCAGAAGTCAGATGTGTTGGGCAGAAGGCACAAATATCGCAGCCATGCTGTTAATGGACACAGCACAATTACATCTTCAGATGAACGCAGAAGAAGAAGAAGACCTCTGCACTGGCTGCCAAATATGGAAATGGAGCACTCATGGGAAAGTTCTGAATTTTGAATTGAGAATCCACATATAGCACTCAGGACATTCCCTTAAGCACTCCGTCCCCATCTTCAGCAACAAACAAAGAGTTCCAATTCCAATGGTACCAGTAACTGTCTAATTGTATATCTCGCCCTTTCCTTGAGGGTTCAGCTTCGGCCAGATCCCCAAGTAACTCCTCGCAGCACCATTCTCCCAGACCTTAATGATCTATTTGCCTTTCCACACTGGAGCTACAGAAAGCGTGCTCTGCGCCTGATACCATCTTCAGGTGGGAAAGTTCTGAGTGTTGTGATGTCAGTTCTAACTCAAAACAACTCAACTCTGAATGGATCGAAAGCAGTTAAAGAAAGCAAATAATCAGGTAACTAAAGAACATGTTGTGCATGACTTTCTGCTGAATGAGTTGAGGCAAGATTACACTAACTCATTCTTATATAATCATAAATAGCCACATACAGACTTGCATAATAATCTCACACTAAACTCAGCAGATATCTCCTTGTTTGCAAACTCACTGGCAGTTTTGTCCAGTCCATGTAACTCAAAATGTCTACATTCTCCTTCTCCACAAGTTCTTCTAAGCTTGGACCACTCTCAGGGAGATATTTCTCATTCTAAGGAACAAATACATTTGTAATAAGTTAGTTGCGTATCCTTTACAGGACGTTGCAGAACCAACCCTAACAGCCCCTGGCTGTTGTGTGGTTTTTCTAGGCAAATTTACATCCAGTAGTTTGCCATTGCTTTCTAGACGGTCGGCTTTCTTGATACCACAGTCGAAACCAACGCAAGGTGCATGGCCCGCAGCTGGGATCGAACCCAGCATCCTAGCATTACAAAGTGTTCGCACTGACGTAGCCACAGAGCCGACACATTTGTAATGACTAGCAAAATTTTACAATTCTGAAAATGGCCAGGTAAAGGCACTTAATATAATGTGATTTTCAAAAGAAATATTATATATATTACCAGTTATAATATATTAAGAGATAATTACTTAGCATACGATAGAAAACATGCAGTGGATAGATAGTACTACAGAATTACAGGGAAGGATTCAACATCATCATCATGTGACACAGTCGTCTCTGTTATTGTCCCAGGTTCGTTTATATTTGTCACAAGGGTGGATGGTGAGTGTTTATAGACGAGGAGAAAGATGGTCGTGTCGTTAGTGGTGATGATGATGCACACTTAGCACTCGTTGCATGCTTCTCACGTGACTTTGCTTGAATAATAAAGTGTCTGGAAACAATATTCTCGTCTATAAATTTCTTTAATATGATACTTCAACAATGTCACACAATTAAAAATGATATTCTGAATAACACTGGATTATCTCTATGGCTAAGTACTCGTAGAATCACGTTGTGTTCTTCTTCTTTATTTACTTTGTTAACTGGTTCTATTGTCTCTAACTGCCACCAGACTACTAGTGTAGGTTGGTTCAACAGGTTTTACCTTCTACTTATAAAATTCATTTGGAGATTTTCAGGAAGTCCGGCCTATATGTAGTTCTTCTAGTCTACTGTGCTCCGGCCTCTTCTTCATCTGTCTCCGAGTCAGTATCTGTCCCCGAAGTTGTATCTACACCTGAATCCGGCTGGACCCATTGTCGATGATAGTAAATGTCGACTTCTCTTACAGTGAAACGGTATACCCGAGCTGTTCCATCATCATGCGTGAAAACTATTGTGACATCTTGAAATAAGCCACGGCTCCTAACAGTAACTCTAATGGCAAACATTCGCAATTTTCTTTTCCATATCTGCCTATTTAATCAACCTTCCTTCCCTGTTTTAACTGACCGTTACTTCTCTCTACTATTTATCTCTGTCTCTATCTCTAGCCTGTCCCTTGCCTGTCCTCTGCTGTCCTCTGTCTATCCTCTGGCCTGTCTGTTTATCCTCTGGCCTGCTCCCGTCTGTGTCTTGTGTCTTCTGTCTCTCCTCTGTGTCTATTCTCTGTCTATGTCTGTGCCTTCTGTCTAGCCCTTGGGTTCCGGGCAATCGTTTATAAAGGGGTTACTAGCCTGCTCCCAGGGGGCTCCTATCCCTCATTGTTTTGCAAGTTCTGCAGCGACCTTGGCTGGCCGCGACAGTGGCATTCTAGTTAATTGCTTTGGTGCTGGACGGGGAAAGTCACATGATGTCTAATCAGATGACTCAAAGTATGTGGGAAACAAGAGTAGGGACCTAAGGGGATATAGTTGCTTACTAATCATAGTGGAAAAGTTTCAAAAACAAGGGTGAAGGCCATAGGGGGTCTTGTCGTGCAAACAGCACAACACTAAAAGGTGGTATGAGCAATGACTCTGCTACAATCATCACTCTCTGTGTGCTGTTAGATGTCTCATAGGGCTCGCATTCGATTCCTCCACTCTGCTCTACAGCATGCAACTCTCTAGATTTCTGACATCAGCTTAGCTTTTTTTAGCTTCTCCTAATGTTTTCCTTGGACGTCCTTTTTTTTCTCAAACCATTTGTTTCCCATTTTTGTGCTTGTGCTGTAGTTCTTTACTCATTTCACCTCAGAGTGTGGCCAATATATCTCCACTTTTGTGTGTGTCTGATTGCAGTTGTCAAAGGACCAAACATTTCCCTGATCTCCTCACTTTTTTAAATTTGTCCTATTTTATGTCATGATTTTCCTCAGACATAACCTATGCTATATTAAAAAGCTAAAAATAATTTGTAAGAGTAAAAATTCAATATTGAAAATGAAAAACCCTATATATCCTATGTATAACCTAGATGGGCTGAATAGGATATTGTTGTTTAAACTGCTATAGTCTTAAAACATAATTTGTTTTTTTTTGTTTTTTTTTAAACAAAATTATCTATTTTTTTAGTCATTGTAAACTTTCGAGAGAGAAAAAGAACATTTGCAAAAATGTTAACATTTTTCTAACACCCTAAATGACTTTCCAATGGCTAAAAGTTAATTTAATTAAAACCATTATGTTTGATATAAGAGTCTGGATATAATTGTGTTTAGAGCTTTTCTTAGAAATGATGAAAGGTCAATGTAGAATGCTGACATTGTGTATACTTACTTCCACTCTGTTCTCTACAGCAATGAAGCTAGTAAACTGTGTCACTATTGAATACTTTTTGCTCAAGTCAATAATGTAATTCTTCAAGTCCATTTTGGCCATCTGCAAGAACACAAAATATAAATATTGCAATTACACACACAAACACACACACAAAGCACAAAAAGTGGTAAATATAGGTAGCTTTATATTATATATATATATATATATATATATATATATATATATATATATATATATATATATATATATATATATATATATATATATATATATAATGTGTGTGTAAAATGCTATTGACATTTCATTTTTAAGGCATGTTATAAGAATGGGAAAACCAGAATGTGCCATGACAACAGACATGATCGAGGGGAAAAGAAGCAGGGAAAACCAATTTAGAGGATGTTAAACTCGTACATGAAACAGTGGTGACCAGTGCTACAAACAGTGGGCTATAAGAAGAACATTATTACAAACATGTCTGGCTACATATTGATATAATACTGTACAATTTACCTCATGTTGTGTCCTGTCATTGGAGAGAACCCCATCTTCCCAGTCCCTGATTACAGCTCTGGCAGTTAGTCGGTGTACTAGCTGGTTGGCACAATGAAACAGCAGAAAACAGGTCAGGTCTATCACCAGTCTATACATCTTCAAGCACAACATATTTTGTTGATGACAAGTTTTTACGATTAATAATCACAATTATTTTTTTTTAAACATATTTAGTAGTACTATTCTTGTAAATTATTGAAAATGAGGCCTTTTTTTTAAAGTGATAAAATGGGCCTCAGTTTGAATAATGTGAAGACAGAAGTAATGGTGAATTCCAAGAAAAGAATAGTGCCAGAATATATAATAAGAGTCAAAGGCGTTATGTTTGAACAAGTACAGAAAATTAAGGATCTGGCCACATGGATAACTTCTGATGGAAGATGTATCACAGAGACAAAGAACAGAACAGGACAAGCCAAAACTGCCTCTTATAAAATAAAGAACATTTTGTTATTGGAGGTTAATATAAGAATTCTCGCAAGCTATATTGAGCTCAATTTTAACATACGGCTGTGAACCCTGGACAATTAATAAACAGGCTGAACAATATCATGAGGCCTCAGAGATGTGGTTTTACAGAAGAATCCTTAGAATTCCTTGGACAGCTAAGAGCAACTTAGTTGTTTTGAAAGAGGCAGGTGCTCTTAATTTTTTGGTCGTGTTATGAAAAGAGGGAAAATGGAACATGTTGTAACCACTGGAAATATTTGTGGAAAGTGAGACGGAGAAAGACAACATAAAAAGATTCTTGACAGCCTTTTGTCATGTTATAGAATGGTGTCAACACATGAACTAATATGCTCAGTTGGGGATCACAGATTGTGGAGAGGCATGATCGCTGATGCCAGTCCGCAAGACACTTGATGATGATGATAGTTGTAATAAAGAAGGTGAATAGCTTAATCTTTTGCAAAATTTATAAATTTATAAATACTGTTGTTGGATGTACACCATCATTGGAGTTGTACACACTTATGTGACATGAATAGACACGTATTGGTATGATCTAGTTTCCATTTTAACTCTTTCAAGACAGTAATTTATTCTGGGTTTTGGATACAATTAAGTCTGAGCTGAATTTTTTACTGCTGCATGACAAAGCTAAAACCTTCCTGAAGAAAACCTATTGGTTGCATAGTGATATATAACAAATAAAACAGAAATGAATACAGAATACATTTAAACTATTCAAGCAACAATAAAATGTTAAAACGATACCACATTCAAGGATGTTAGAGACACGTGAAGATTTTGGACACATATAGTTTTGTTCTTATCTTACTTTGTTATTTTATCAGCAACACTGTTATCTATTTCTAACAATTCACATGCCTTCTCTATTCAAATATGCATCAGCTAGTCTTTATTAATCTAAATACTTTGGATTTTATGACCATTTCTGTTGAGAGTCCTACTAGAGGAAATGAGAGAAAAAAATTTAATCACACTGATTTAAGTAAAGTAAACAACTTTCAAATGAATCTTTTTACTTCTCCATGCTTTGAGAATACAAATACTTCATTTTGTTAATTCTAGTTTTACAAAACAGGTTCACACAGATTCATTTTCCGAGCAAAAGGAACAATTTTAGCATGTTTAAATAAGTTAAGTCAGCAGCCATTTAAGCAGTGATCTGTCTAAAGGGGTGGAATCAGCCACCACTTAAAGGGAATATGTCCAGAAAGAGCTAGTGAGAAACAACAACATAGATGATATGTTGATTAAATGTTAACATTATGTGGTTTTGAGAAGAATGAAAAGATTATCATACAATGATAAGACAAATAAATAAAGCGGTCCTTCTTGAGCCTGGCAACATTCATAAAATGATCTGAAGAATTAGATACTGACAGTAATGTTTTACGGACATGTTATCAGAAAGAACTGACTCCAGAACTTGGTAACCACTGGCAAGATTAATGGAAAGAGAGCAAGGGGAAAAGCAAAGAGATAAATACCTGTATGGCTTTATTATATGGCTGAGGCAAAACAAGGACACTGACCTGATCCATGATTATTGTGATTGTGTGGGATAGCGATACATGACAGACTATCCTTTTTAGTGATACTTTTGTGAAACTTCTGGTTCTGACATTGACAGGGAATGGGTGACGGTTGAGAACTTGGCTTATGTTGACCATTCTCATCACCGTTTCTCCTCCAGTTTTGATGATGTAAGATTGTGGAAGTCCGGTTTGCAACCAGAGCTACTGAGTTTAGTGCTCCTATGATGCTGTGATTATCGGTTTTTGACTGAGTTCCAGATTTGTACATAATGACAATGATGGGTGATGTATTTTTCTTTCTTGTGTTCCCTGGACAAGGCGTATGCTATAGCTGCTATTTTGCTGGCCGTAGCTGCAACCTGGCCGAGGACACATGGAGAATGGTCAGGAATAGTTTTAATCTACTAATCGCCCAGCTATTCGTCGAATGAAGTTGATTTTCAACTATGGTGCCTGGTCTCGCAGTGTGTTTCAGGAAGTATGGTTTATGGTTTGCCAGATCAAATCGTGTGTGTTTTGCTGACTGAGGACACTTTGTATGGTCACTGGAGTTATCCAGCATATCTGACTCTGTGACTGGAATCACTGGCATAGGCGGTTGAGCAATTATTGGCCAAGCTCGTTTGTTGTGATGCTGGATCCATAACGACTAACTAGCAAACCAACTATACTTTTTAGTGCAGCAAATGGGAGTGATGCTGATTGTGTGGTACTTGTATTAGGCGTGATTAGCTATTATAATTAAGTAGTCAGTATGAGTGTGTGAAAGACTTGCAGAGTGCCCACTATCATCATGTGGTTTCAAGTGTGAATGTTAGAACTAGGTGCTGATGATCTACTATCATACTAGGATAAACTTAGCTATAATTAAGCATTCTGATCATAAATGCTTTTTCTTTTGACAGGAAAAATAGCTTTGATTCTTACCAAACCTTCTGTGACAGACAGATCTGAAGTGGAAACAACCGTAGATACTTCCTGTCCATCAACTGTTGCCTTGAGAGTCGCCTAAAAATTAAATAAATTAATGTTTGTTAACTTAGATAAAACTCATCAAATGGGGCCTGCTTACTAATAAGTCATATCTGTAAAATGGATGTGCGCGCAACTCTCAAGTTCTGGAACAAGACTAAAGTCCACTGTTGGATGAATAACCAGAACTTTCTGCCCGAGTTTACAGCTGGTGAACACGAAGAAGAAGAAATGAAGTTATCATTGGGGTATACAAGTTCAACTTGCGAAAAAATTTATAATTGGGGCAACTGTAGTTTACCTGGAGTAGCTTGCATTCCCGTGTGGATGAACAATCTTTTATTCTTGCTATATATTAATGTTTAATGTTAATGCAGATAGAATTTTTAACATTCAAATGTACAATGCTATTTTTGTGAACACTAAGGATGCCTTCCTATACTGGCAAAATACTGGCTGCAACAGCTGATACCTACCATTGTACAGTTAGCCACAAAACCATAGACAATTTGTCGAGATCCACTAAACAGGGCAGTAATTTGTCGTGGTGCCTGTACAGGCATGGGCAGATTTTCGTCATACTGCTGCCACTCCACTGCTACTGAAGTCAAGCCCGGCTGGCAAGCCTTGATGATCTGACTCTTTACCTGTAGATGAGAACAGCACGATGTCTGAAATAAGGGGCAGTGAGCACTGTCACAAACTGTCATATCCTAACAACTGGAGTAATTATAAATCCTGCCTCAGAATGTTTCAGATTCCCAGAACCTATTAACATTCATCTTTTTATTTAAAAGTGAATCTTCTCCTCTTCTTCTTCTTCTTCTTCTTCTTCTTCTTCTTCTTCTTCAGCATTCCAAGCCCTTGAGGTTCATTGCTGCAGATATCACCTGACTCCATTCATCTCTCTGGTTGGCATTCTCTTTACTGGTTGGTGACATGAAGTGTTTGTAGGTCTGTCTGGATATTATCTCTCCATCGTCTTCTTGGTCTGCCTCATATTCCATGACAATTCAGCTTCATTGTGTATACAGTTTTTACCTCTTTGTCATCTGACATTATTTCAATATGCCCCATCCATTTCAGTCTATTAGCCCTCATGATGCCAGTGATCAGTGGTGATTTAAACAGATTATGAATTTCATTGTTGCTTCTCACTCTCCATTCCCCGCTGTTTGCATCTTTGATGGGTCCAAAGATTTGTTGTAAGACTCTGTTTTTGAAAACCTGTAGTGAGGCTTCATCTCTTTTAGCTGTGCTCCAAGTTTCAGAGCCATATAAAATTACTTGTCTTATCAATGTTTGATATATTTTGATCTTGGTGTTGCGAGACAGACACTTTGACTTTAGCAGATGTTGAAGGGCATAGTATACTTTATTTCCAGATTGTTTTCTAGATTGTATTTCTTCTCTGAGCATGTTGGAGCAGTTGAAGTTTGCACCCAAGTACTTATATGTTTCCGTAGTCTCATTTTCTGAGCTGCTTTTTTTAAGAGAGTCAATGTTTTACAGTCTCTAGCTCATTTTCTCCAGCAATTTCAGTGTCATCTATAAAACCAAATATTCTAGTAGTCTCTCCTTTAGTACACTCTTCTTTCATTTTCTTTACAATTTTTTCCATGGCCAAGTTGAAAAGACGTGGAGACAGAGTATTTCTGCCTTTATATGTTACTATATTACAAGTGTCTTCCATACATAGTTTGATCATGGTGAATAACTTCTTCAGTATTCTTAAGTCTTTAATAGCATTCCATAAACTGTTTCTATGTACACTATCAAATGCCTTTTTAAAATCCACAAAAACATTATGTACATGTCTTCTATTCACACAGTTTTGCTCTGTTATTTGGGGTAAAATGAATACCTGATCTACTGTCGATCTGTTCTTTTGGAAACCCACCTGGTGATCACCCAAAATGTCTTTAATGTATGGTTTTAGTCTGTTTAGCAGCACCGCCGATAGTATCTTATAACTTGTAGGTAATAGTGTACTCCTCTATAATTTTCAAATTTTTGTTGTCTTCTTTCTTAAAAATGGGTATTAATAATGACTCTTTCCACTCTTGGGGTAATTTCTCCATCTTCCAAACTAATTTTATTAATTCATATATCTTTAAAAGTAATGTATATAGGTATGTTGGGATATGAACAGACAGTAGACTAGCTGGTTCTGCATCACTTGGTGGTAAAATGAAGCACAATATGCTAGATGTTGTAAGGGCCCTTTGGGAGCAAGTAAACAGTGAGGAGGCGCAGACAGAGCATCAGGATCTGAAGAGAATGACACAGTGAGAAGTGACCAGTGGATCTGGCCAATGCTCAACACTCAGGGGATGGGCAAATTGGACATATAATCAGACTGTTACTGGTATCATTAAAACTGGAACTCTGTGCTTGCTGCTGATGATGGGGACAGAGCACGTGTGGAAATATCCAGAGTGCTATGATATCAGTTCTCAGTGCATTTCCCTTTTTCCATCTTTCCCATCTATGTCTTTTGTGTGTGTGTGTGTCTCAGTGGCTCTCTCTAATTTATTTCCCTTATTCTATTACAGTGTCCTCATCCCCACCACTCCCACCACACTGTCCCCACATAACTTGCTCTCCTCTCCACCTCCTATCCAACTGCCTCTGCCTCTCTCACACAATTCTACAAACCTTAGGTTCCCACTTTGACTTGGTTTTAGTGTCAAAGAACTCAAATGATCCACCTGAGACACGCGAGAGAGCCTTCAGGAAGTATCTGTTACAGGTAGTACTGTCGAGTACAAATATTTCTTATTCAAATAACAAAGAAATGTCAATAAATGTATTCACAACGAAACATGATTATAATAAATTTATGGTACAGCTTAAACAAAATGATAATCGTTTTCAAGTCTATGGCCATGTGGTGTTGGTAGTCATGTCTATCCACAACCTTCTATCTACTGTACTTTTAATCAACTCTGATACAGCCGATCCTCCATGCCAAGATGTCAGACAGTCCAGCATCTTTTCTCATGGTCCCCCTCTGCCTTTCTTCCCCTCCAACTTTACTTTGTCAAGTTGTACTTAAGTTTTCTCCTTCTCATCAAATGAGCAAAGAATTCACATAAATAAACAGAGGGGGAACCCTCAAGGTTATAGAAATATTATATATATCATAAACAAACCGACAATGTTTTGATTGTTATGTTGTCAAGTGTGTCCTTTTATCTGTCCAATTCTTTCTATGAGTGAAATATATGATAATGGCCAGGTATACTACAAGTTTCTGAGGTTTAGTAAAAATGGCATTAGAATTAATTAATTATTTAGTTAGTTAATTAATTAATTAATTAATAAGTAAATGAATGATTGACTGATTGTATACATTAAAGAATGACATTCCCATTTATCTTACATCTACTTGTGATGTATGTGGTTATCACACAAAAAACAATATGCAAAAAATACAAACATACAAAATGGAACAAAGATTTTGAGCAATAGCACCTAGTGAAGATACTACACTCTAATATGTTGAAGTTAGCATCGTCCCCATGTGGGATGCAACTGTTAGTTATTTTGAAGCCCCAGCCTAGCTTTTGTCGTGGGCCCTAAATAAAGCCAGGCAATTAATATGGCCTATCAGCTAAATGGGGTTTCCGGGGCCTCTCCACGGGTGATTCTCATCCGCATGGTGGCACTTTGCATCACCAGGTGTTTATCGCTTGTTTGATGTCCTGGTGGAGTACAACTACCTACTACACTCTTACAATGAATCTGGCCTCTTGCCCTGAGAATCGTAACTGACACTATTTGACCAAATTCCAATACATCATCATCAAGTGTACTGCTGACTAGTGTGAAAACTTTTGCCTCTCCAACAGCATGTTCATGTGCTGGCACCCCTACATGCCATGACAAAAGATTTGTCATGAATCTTCTCCCATTTTCTTCCTGTATCTGTTTCCACAAATCTCTCCAGTGTCAAAACATGTTCCCGCTTCCTATTCTAATAATATGGCAATAAAATGACGACTGCCTCCTTCTGATGTCTGTGTTTTCTTCTGACCCTAAATTCTTTCAAAACATCTGGGCTGCCCTTTTTTTTAAAAACTACAACTTTGAGGCCTCAAGAAATTGTTTCGTTTGTTTATTATTAGTCATTCTCAGCAATATTTACATGACACTAATCATGCTTTCATGTGATCTTATTTCACTGAATGTTTTTTCTTGAAAGTTAGCTAATTTAGCTAACTTAGCTCCTAGCCTACCATTAAATCTTATATGGGAATGTCCCAAGTACTGTGATGTTGATTATTCATTAAAGATTAAATCTTACATGGGAATGTCCCAAGTACTGTGATGTTGATTCTTCAATAAACATTAAATCTTACATAGCAATGTCCCAAGTACTGTGATGTTGATTCTTCATTAAACATTAAATCTTACATGGGAATGTCCCAAGTACTGTGATGTTGATTCTTCAATAAACATTAAATCTTACATGGGAATGTCCTAAGTACTGTGATGTTGATTCTTCAATAAAAATTAAATCTTATATGGGAATGTCCCAAGTACTGTGATGTTGAATCTTCATTAAACATTAAATCTTTCATGGGAATGTCCCAAGTACTGTGATGTTGATTATTCATTAAACATTAAACCTTACATGGGAATGTCCCAAGTGCTGTGATGTTGATTCTTCATTAAACATAAAATCTTACATGGGAATGTCCCAAGTACTGTGATGTTGATTCTTCATTAAACATTAAATCTTTCATGGGAATGTCCCAAGTACTGTGATGTTGATTCTTCATTAAACATTAAATCTTTCATGGGAATGTCCCAAGTGCTGTGATGTTGATTCTTCATTAAACATAAAATCTTACATGGGAATGTCCCAAGTGCTGTGATGTTGATTCTTCATTAAACATTAAACCTTACATGGGAATGTCCCAAGTACTGTGATGTTGATACTTCATTAAACATTGGTAATCTTGGTAATCTTAGTTTCAGCTTCATAGCAAACGAGTCACCCCATAGTTGCACCCTCCTGTGCCAACGAAAAACACACAGAATGTTCGTCGCATCCCTTGTGGAAAGATTGACAGACTGCTGTCTCAGCATATGTACGAGCATACACGCGCATTAAAAGCATACGGTAGCCACCAGAATTGCTAACACAAACAGTTTGACAACAGAAAGGCAGTTCATCATCGACGGTAGCAGAAGTCGCCAACAGATCAGCAGTTGCGCACGTGATCTATAGCAATAACATAAGGGCACCACCAATGTTGCGGCGAAAGGCCACGCGCCATATTCTGAATCTACAGTTCACAACACCACATTGGTCACAGTTGAAAAACATTCCAAATGAAATCCACAGCTCACAGGGTCGCGCCATGCACTCAACTCAGTAGCTGGCGCAACGAAACTGTATCCTTTCGGTCTACAAATGGATCAAAATTGCAACGGCCACCCTCCGGTAGAAGCAAAAAATTCACCCCCACACAGTAACCACGCCTGGCATCCATTTTGACTGGAAGTCAAATCGTAAACATGAAATCTTACATGGGAATGTAACAAATGCTGTGATGTTGATTTTTCATTAAACATTAAATCTTACCTGATACCAAAAGAAAACACACGAGTATGCATTGAGTTTTGGTTGGCACAGCGTAGGACTAGTTCATCACTGTTGATGTGACCATCAGAAATCAGAAAAACATTTCTCTGACCATCAGAACGAGGTAGTAGGAACAGAGAGCGCAGTGGTTTGATGACATCTGTGTTGCCTTTATTTGCCACAGAATTCTGTGACATTTTGTTTTTTGAATAACACATTAATTGCATCAAAAATGTATATGTTAATACATTAGCATTAACTAACAGACAATAAAAGATGAAACAACCTATAGCAGTTTATCTGAATTTGGTTGCAACAAATAACACATAACATACACAAAAATTAATCTGAAGTGTTGGCAGTCACTATGTTCCTGGAAATATCACTGCCTACATATCTGATTATTTACTGAGGTAGATGATGCTGCAACTTCAGTATCTTTAAAACAATGATTTCAGGATGCAAGAGTATAATTTCAAGAAGGATCATACACAGGAATTAATCTGGTTTTTATAATCAATATATTCAAGGAACGATGGTTAAGTCATTGGTTTAAAGTTGATACTGGATTGAAACAAGGATACATTTTATCTCCTATTTGGCATAACCATTGACTAGATGATGAAAAAAAATGTTGTGTTGGAAACAGCCATATTGCCTGGGTGGAGAACACATGGTTGGAAGATCTCGATTTTGCTGATGATATTGCTCTGCTAAGTAAAAACAGCAACGACATGCAAAAGGAAAACAGATGATTTAGCAAATATAGCATCAAGGGTTGGACTATAAATTAGTTATGAAAAGACAGATATACTGAAGACACCATCTGCAGATCAAGCAGACATAACACTAGAGACAAAATATATAAAGCAACAAATCAATTTACTAATTTAGGCAGTCATTTTGACAGTAAAGGAAATAAAGGAAATAAACTATGACACGCATTGACGGGGCATCAGCAGCTTTTAATAGCTTGAACAAAATTAGCAACTGTATAGTTTTAAAACCAAGTTACCGATTTTCAATTCTAATGTTGTTTCAATTTTTAACACATGCAAGTGAAAGCTGGAGAAACCACTAAAGATATAGAATGAAAGTTAAATGCATTTGAAAACCAAGGTCTGAGGAAAATTATGAAAACAAAATGGGACCAATTCAAAAGGAGTGAAGAAATCAGAGAAATGTCTAGGCAGCCACTAGTATCAACACTTTTAAGATAGAAAAGATGGTGCTTCATTAGACACATCATTCACAATTTACAAAGAGAGATGGAGAATCTTTTGTTTTTCCTGGAGTGTAGTGACGCTGATATTCAATTGGTCATAATCCATTTGAATAAATTAATTCACACATAAATACAAATACTGATTCATGTACTAAACCGTGATTTTTGCTGTTATACATATCTCAGATATTGTCTCCAATGCTGTTACGCCGAGGGCGGGGCTGAGGATAAGCTCTCAGTCTCCAAGAAATACCCTCAAGGCATGCGTCTCTCAAAGCCTCTGACAGCAACAGTCCAACTTCTGGCCTTCTCGTGGCGGAGATGTTTAAACTAACAGGAGAAGGGGCGAAAGCGGGTCTCTGGCGCTTTAACCAGACGCTTCGGGTAGATGAGGCTCGTCAGTACGGGAGTGCAGCTCATCTAGGAGAAGGAAAACTCTGATTTCAAACCACGGGCAGATGAGGCTCGCCAGCAAGGGAGTGCAGCTCATCTAGGAGAAGGAAAACTCTGATTTCAAACCACGGGCAGATGAGGCTCGCCAGCAAGGGAGTGCAGCTCATCTAGGAGAAGGTAAACTCTGACTACACACAGATCTGTAAAACAGATGTGCATGCAACACTCTGGTTCTGAAACTGGACTAGAGGCCAGAATGGGACAAACAACCAGAATTTTCTGCCAGAGTTTACAGCCAGCTACGTAAAAAAGAATAAGAAAAAAATATGTCAACAGGAACAATTAATAAATCTGCAAGGTATCTATCTACTCAGAGCTTTTTCTTACCTGTACAAAACTTATGGCAAGCTGCATGTTTTCTTCTTTGTTAATCCTTGGTGCAGCAAACAACTCTTCATAGTCTGCCAATAAAAAACAAAAATCAAATAAGAAACAAATGTACTAATTTAGTAAAGTACTTAGTGAGTTCCATGCAGTGCAAACTAATTATAAAAGAATTTTGAAATGGTCAGTACATGAATGCTTGTTGTATAATCTTTTGATTCTCTTCAATACCCTGATATCCTTATTTTGAATTGTAAGATCTTCTGTTTATTTGATTCTTTTTAAGGTCAGGAGTTTATTTCAAGGACATGTTGTTTAGCAGTTTTTACAGAGGTCTCTGATGCTAGCTTTTTTGGGTGCTCTTGTCACATGGCTATACATTCTGTTGAGAGAGACTGAGCAACATGGGATAAAACTTAGTGCTATTCAAACTGATACTCTTCACTGTAACTTTAACTTTTTATACATACACAAGGACTTTTTTTCAGTAATAACAGAAATTATGGGAAAACATTGTTTTGAATAACAGAAATGAAAGCAAAACAGTTAAAGCTACTGAAATCAACTAAAAAGAAACCTTTTTACATTATTCATACACATTTGCTTGCAACATGAATTTATAATATACAGGTAAAAAACTGATTGCGCCTTTCCATCTTTCCGGATGATAGTGTTACACAGAACTACAGGGGGCAAGAGAATCACAGCCAATGACAATGGCAAATGTGACTATCAAGACCCGTTTGCTTTAACCCTTTCACCCCAGTAACACTAATAAATAACTGATCATGATTCCATTGGAATTGCAGAAAATTATGTTTAGAAAACAAAAATGTTACACATGTCTGTTAGAAGCATGCTTGTCCTCACTTTCCTCAGCATGCTTTCTGAGTCAGTTACAATTAGAGCTGTACCGAACATTCCCTTCGTATTCGCTTTGGGGCCGTATAGTAGACCTAATAACTATTCAGTATTTGGCCGAATACTTGCGGTCGGGCCGAATACGAATAATGGTTACCTTACACCCACTTCTGTATACACGGCGGTTGCTGCAGCCACTACAAATTACTTGGTATAACACTTAGAATACTTTCATTCTTATTTATAAGTTACCACAGACTGACTGAAGGATGCAAAACATAAAATGTTGTTAAATGTTTACTGGTAGTCTGGTCTGGTAGTCTGGTAGTCTTAGTTTCAGCTTCATAGCAAATACTGTATTACATTTTGTGAAGTAAAAGTTCAGCGTACATTTGTCATTATGAATGTGTTTTTTTTTAGATCTTTTATGCACACTATACACTATTTGTAAATCGTAATCGGCCGAATAGTCAGTGCCGTTATTCGTACTCGGCCGAATAGTAATAATCACCTATTTGGTACAGTCTAGTAACAATCATGATGTGTGTGTGTGTATCATGCTCACTAGCCAGCAGAAAACTGCAGTGACTGCCTCCACCTCCATTCTTAAGTTGGATGTTGTGGTTCATTCATTAAAAATGTATTTATCTATATATAAAAATTTGTTTGCGTAAATATACAAAGATTTATGAAGAGGGTAATCAATAAACAAAGACAGGGTGAACCATTAAATGGAATATATGCCCTAGGGCCTAAAACATATGTAGAGGACGACTCATGCCATAACCACTATCATTGAGGATTACGGGAAAATCTGACATCAACTTGGCTGTAAACAGCTATTTGGCTCAAAGTTGAGAATCCATAGGGATTTTACCATCCTTCTAATGTTTCCCAACCATCTCATCCTGCAAAGACTGAGAACATATCTCAGTGTTTGTGACCTAGTTACTAACAGTAATAAAGCACAATTTTATGTTTCAATTACCTGATCCAAACCTCACCACATTGAAATGCCATGCAAGCGGAACATTTTGTAAAATGAGCAAAGCCACCTTTCTGGCTTCCAGCAATGCACTTCCCTTCATGGAGTTGGATGTGTCTAAGATAATAATGATTTCCCCATTTGTAACTTCCTCTGACTCAAATTCTGGGTAAAATGTCAGCATGCAAGCCTGTATGAAACAGAACAACAGAACATATACAAAAATGTTATGTTTCTTCTGTTTTGAGGGTTATATCGGATTACTGAAAAGTTATGTGTTGCTTGTCCTTCAGTATGGGCACAAACAATATTAAATGAAATAGAGAAGAAATTGTAAGCAACAGGAGCAGTGGGTTTCGTATCAAATTATTGAGAACATCATGGATGAAGAAGAAGAAGAACGCTATCATCTGCCAAAACCTCAAGAAAGAGAAATAACATTATTGGAGCATGTCAACAGAAGAGGTTGAGATGGGAAATTTATATTTTTTGAGGAAATTCTAGGTAAGAAAAGTAGAAGATGTAGAGTAGAGAAATTAGGCTTTTTTGAGGAAATGTTTGGCTACCTGCCATTCTGAATACTGTGATGCAACTGCAGCACAAAAGAATGGCGTTACACATGAAAAACACAGATCATAGTGCAGCATCAGGCACTTAATTCAGTAGCTTAGGCAGCAAAACTATTAACTTCGATCCATGTGTAAAAACTGCATTAGCAAAGCGCTGCCAGGAGTAAAAAAATAACTCTGACACTAAACATTCTGCCATGACTGTCTGCCATATAGGGCTGCTATATGGCTAGGCACCCTTTATTGTTGAGCCCAGACAGAAAAAAAAAAAACTGTTATAACAAACATCTTAACAAGTACTTTTCAGTCATTTAGTTCCCCACACTGACTCCAGAACCCCATTGTTGGGAAAACAAGAATAGACCAACTGCCTCCCCAGCAGGCATGTTGTAAGAGTTGATTAACTGGAGGCTTTCTTTGAAGTCAAAGTGCATCTGCTTGAGAGGCAGGGAACCAACAGTCTGCATACAAATAAGTCAGATCTGTAAAATGGATGTGCATGCAACATTCTGGTTCTGGAGAGAACAAAAAACTGGAGTCCAGGGGTGGACAAACAACCAGAACTGTGTGTCTGAGTTTACAGCCGATGAACACAAATAAGAAAGAAGAAAAAAAAGAGTAATTCAGTCATAATTTAATATCATGCGTGAACAATAGTTTGTGTGTATTGAGTAATAAACAGCACTGACATACTGACCCTATGGTCAGTGTTTACAGGATGACTCTCCACCCACATCCGTGGGACATGGATCTCAGCCAAACTGATCAGAAGTTGGAACCCTGAACCAAAAGTCTGGTGGTTCATCATCTCTACATAAGCTTTACATGCTGTTTGCTGAAATAAAAAACAAATAATTTTTTATGCATAAATTTGTGCGTAACATAGCGCAATATAAAAAAATGTCTTGTAATGCACTCTATGTAACAAAATGGTGCTAACAAGTTTAAATGGAAGAAGAAGGGGGAGATTGCCCCCAAAAGTGTAAGGGTGCATTGTGACAATTCCTTTCTGAAAAGCAGAAAGAGATGTCTAAATGTTGGTATGTTTTATTTAGAATAAACAGTTCTCTTTGTGTGATCATCTTCTTCTTCTTCCTAGTGTTCACCTGCTGTAAACTTTGGCGGAAAATAATGGTTGTTTGTCCACTTCGGGACTTTGGTTTTGTTTCAGAACTTGAGTATTGTGTTCATATCCGTTTAACAGATCTGGCTTATTTAAATGCAGACTGTTGGTTCTTTGCCTCTCAGGCAGGTGCACTCTGACTTGGAGGGAAACACCCCTATTGATCGTCTTCGACGACATGCTTGTTGAGGCAGCAGTAGGCCTAATCTGTTCCCCTCCCAAATATGGGCCCCAGAACCCATACAGGAAGTGACTATACTATAACCTTATATCTGGCAGGAAACTTTGTTTAACTTCAAAGACTGAAAATTATGAATTTTAATATTTTGGGGGTTAGTTAGTTAGCTAGCTAGCTAGTTAGTTGGTTGGTTGGTTGGTTGGTTGGCTGGCTGGCTGGCTGGCTGGCTGGCTGGCTGGCTGGCTGGTTGGTTGGTTAGTTGGTTGGTTGGTTGGTTGGTTGGTTGTTTGCTTGATTGGTTGGTTGGTTGGTTGGTTGGTTGGTTGGTTGGTTGGTTGGTTGGTTGGTTGGTTGGTTGGTTGGTTGGTTAGTTAGTTAATCTACAGATTATCCTCACTGCACATCAGACAAGTCCATAGCGCTCAGATCCCATCTTCACTGTATCCCTCAGCCTGTGGTGACTGGTAACATTCTGGGAGTATCAGAAAGTAGTTCTAAAGTTCATATTACCAAGCCTGTAGTGACTGGTAACACTCTAAGAGCATCAGAAAGTAGTTCTAAAATTCATATTACCAAGCCTGTGGTGACTGGTAACATTCTAGGAGTATCAGAAAGTGGTTCTAAAGTTCATTTTACCACACTTGTTACTATTTTAAATTACCTTTACTCTTATTTTGTGAGTTGGGCAGTGAAGATTTTTTATTTCAAAAGGCATCTCCACAGCGACTTGTACTGTAGTGTTTGAGAGAGTCATTTTATAACTGCTCAGTTCATCCTGTGTGAAATAAAACAATTTATAAATCAAATAATTCCCCCCAAAAAAATGCGTTTATAAAAATTTTACTTTATAAGATTTGTTTTTTTTTAAACATCATTTAAGTATATTTTGCTTTAAAGTTTAAACAATTTAATCAGCCTAACAACTAAATGCACACAAGGTGTCAGCAAAAACAGAAAAATAGTGTATAAAGTTAAAAAGTTAGTTGTGTATTCTATACAGGATATTGCAGAACCAACCCCAGAATTTTTGGGCTGTTGTGGTTTTTTTTTAGGCAAATTTTATTTTCAGTAGTTTGCTGCTGCTTCCTCAGCTCTTGGTACCACTGTTGAAACCAACGCAAGACAAAATGTCTGCAGCTGGGATCGAAGCCCTCAAGCCGGCATTACAAAGTGCATTCTTAACGCTCAAGTCACAGACGCCGACAGTGTACATAGAAGAAAGGGAAAATATTTGTAATCACTGATTAATACAAGTTAATTAAAAAACAGGAAATTCTGGTGCAAGTTGATTGAGAGACTATTTTTTACCACCACCTCTGGGTAGAAAATTACTCAGACTCACTCCCAGTTGGATGTGGATGCTCTGTCTGTTCTGTTGCACTGTTTACTTGATCTCCGTGAGTCTTTACCATATCCACTTTATCATACCGTAGCTCACCACCCAGAGAGGTGGCAGCAGCCACTTTATCAGTCCGCTAATTAAGACGTACACCCAAATATCCTGGGCAAAAAAACCAGGATCTGTTTCTTATAATAGTCTTACCCTGTGATGCAATCTACTCTGATGCAAGACACAACTATCATAATGATGTAATATGTAATCTATGCAAGATAAAATAACCAAACTCATAAATATCTAGCACTAAAATAGAAAGGAAAAAACTGTGTATCCTAGTTATAACCCAAATAGGTTGAAACACAAGGTATCATTGTTAAATTTCCATAACTAAACAAAAACTATACACAACATAAAAGTAAGTAGTTCAATAACCTGTGTAGATTGTTTGAGAGCAGAAGTTTCCTTCCAGGGTGCAACAGCTGCAGGCAATGAGAAACTAATGTTGTCTCCCTCAACTTGTAACTCTGCCACGTAAGTGATCTTGATGAGAACAGTGGCACCAGGGGGCAGGTTTCCAACACTGACTGTAAAAACATCCTAGTCACAAATATGTTTCACGTGATTAGTGTTGGCTTTTCTTATTTGATCGTTCTTCTTCTTCTTTTTCTTTCTCCTCAAGTTTATTGGCTGTAAACTCCAGCAAAACATTCTGGTTCCAGAACTTGAGTTCTGCATGCACATCCATTTTACAGATCTGGCATATTTTTATGCAAACTTTTGGTTCCCTGCCTCTCAGGCAGATGTACTTTGACTCCAAAGAAAGCCTCCTGTTAGTTGACACTTACAACATGCCTGCTGGGGAGGCAGATGTTCCATTCTTGTTTTTCCCCCACAATGGAACCTTGGAACCAAACCAACAGGGGGAACCGGATGACTGAAAGTAGATGAATACATTTGATGTAGACGAATACATTTAACACAAATTCTTGGCTGTTTTTTTAAGGTTTTGGGGGGGGGGGGGGGTGGCGCGGCTGGGGGGGGGGGGGAGGGAATCCCTATAGCCTCGTGACCCAATTTTGTTTTTTTCTCTTTTAAGCATTGCCAAGATGAACTAGTTAAACCAGTTTATGAAAAGCCAGTTGGGGCAGGATAGTTGTAACAGTCGCAAGCAATGTAAATTCATAATCTGCAGTTGTGTCACTGAAAACATCTACAGGGTAAGTCACTTCCGTCAGTTCAGTTTGTTTACATTTTTATTCCAGGTTATACTTATCTATCTGAGGTCACCACAATCACGTAGGTAAAGCAGTAAATGAAAGGCAATGCTGAAGTAAGTAAAGCAGTAAATCAAAGGCAATGCTGAAGTAGGTAAAGCAGTAAATCAAAGGCTATGCTGAAGTAAGTGAAGCAGTAAATCAAAGACTATGGTGAAGTAGGTAAAGCATTAAATCAAAGGATATGCTGAAGTAAGTAAAGTAGTAAATCAAAGGCAATGCTGAAGTTAGTAAAACAGTAAATCAAAGACTTTGATGAAGTAAGTAAAGTAGTAAATCAAAGGCAATGCTGAAGTTAGTAAAGCAGTAAATCAAAGACTTTGGTGAAGTAAGTAAAGTAGTAAATCAAAGGCAATGCTGAAGTTAGTAAAGCAGTAAATCAAAGACTATGGTGAAGTAAGTAAAGTAGTAAATCAAAGGCAATGCTGAAGTTAGTGAAGCAGTAAATCAAAGACTTTGGTGAAGTAAGTAAAGTAGTAAATCAAAGGCAATGCTGAAGTTAGTAAAGCAGTAAATCAAAGACTATGGTGAAGTAAGTAAAGTAGTAAATCAAAGGCAATGCTGAAGTTAGTAAAGCAGTAAATCAAAGACTTTGGTGAAGTAAGTAAAGTAGTAAATCAAAGGCCATGCTGAAGTTAGTAAAGTAGTATATCAAAGGCTATGCTGAAGTAAGTAAAGCAGTAAATCAAAGGCCATGCTGAAGTTAGTAAAGTAGTAAATCAAAGGTCTTTTTCATGTCACAGGTTCATCAAGCATGTGGTGCTAGACCAATATTGTTATAGATCAATGGGAACTAAATGGATGATGTGATCAATATAATGTCACATTGAAGTATTTGGTCCACAGATTTGTTGTAAACAGTAGATTCAATTCAAATATGTAAATAAAGTATGAGTGATACTTGAAAAAGTCAGTTTTTTTTAAAATGTGTGAATTGTGTGTGTGTGGGTGTAGGTGTGGTGTGGTGTGTGTGCATGCATGCGTATGTGTGTGTGGTGTGTGTGTGTGGGTGTGGTGTGTGTGCCTGCGTGGGTGGGTGGGTGCGTGCATGTGTGTGTGCATGTGTACATGTGTTTGTGTGTGTGTGTATGTGTGTGTTTGCATGTGTACATGCCTGTGAAATATTATGGCAATATTTTAATGTTTATCATTCACATAGAATTACTGAATTTTTAAAGAAAAATGGATATTGTGAATGCAAAATGATACAACTTTCCAACACTTACCGGTGCCTCTACGTCCTGATCCATCAAATATGCTCCATGACCTTCACTGATAGCTTTCTTGTATTCTTTATGTGCTGTCTCTTTCTCCTTCACTTCTCCAATAATGTGCTTGCCATTAATGAAGGCTTCAAATCCACAGACACTAGCAGTATCCTCAAGAGGAAATACATATTTAGCTTCTATTGCCTTCTGACTATTGTTGCAATATTCTTGAAGAATCACAACCTGTATTGCAATTATGGTATACAGTTTAACACTGGAAATATTATTACATAATTTAAAGAATTAAAATGTCCACAACTCATTCACTGCACTAGAAAATTCTTTTACATTTTCACCCTGTCAGATTTGTTTCTAGCAGCTAACATCAATGTCATAAAGAAAGATATTGTTTTCTTCTTTACTGTTTTTTTTATTGTGCCTTTCAGGTGATGCATTAGACTTCATCGGACATTTGTTTGCTGGGTAAGCCTTCCCAGATATATAAAGATACATCGAACAATGCAGTTGTACAATTTGTTTATGTACAAGTGTACTGAGGAAGCTGCTGTAGCCAAGTGGATAGATGCAGGCTTGCTTCCTCAAAATTAAGGTTTTAATCCATGTATGGTGGAATTTTATAATGACCTAGTGCTCCATGGTCAACCCAGCCTAAAATGGGTACCAGAAAATGTGTTGGGAAATAAAGATGTATGGAACTGTGTTGACCACATCACCCAGCGAGTGCCAAGTGGTTAATGGAAAAGAAAAAAAAATTCAGACTAACATTAAATGTTTGATGCACCAAAAGCATAAAAGAATGTCCATTTACTTTTCTAAGCAAAATAAAAATTGTGATATTAAAGCTGAATTAATTTCAGCCAGATCAAAAGGTAAAACAACAACAACAGATTAGATCTCAAGATCATAAACTGGATTTCAGTATTTCTATGACTCTCCCAGCTTAGAATCCAGCCTCTACTACAATATAAAGATGTGTGCAAGAGGGACATCAATGGTACAGGTGTTGAGGTAAATTCGTGGGAACAAAATGACAAGGACCGTGTTGTGTGGAGGTGGTAAATCAGGACGGCAATGAGAATGAAGAAAGAAATGATTGCAGAAAAAATGAGAGTTAAGCGTCTGAGAAGACAAACTAAATTCATATGTACACGATGGAAAAATAGTCCTGAAATCCCAAGCGCTAACTGTGGAAAACTTCTCCTAACTCAGGCAGGTCTTTCTAGTCACTCCCCATCACCATGGGCTGTGAGTCCTATACGTCTTCATAGCACAGTTTAACACTTATCTTCTGGAAAGGTGGAAAGGTGCAAAAAAAAAACCAGCTTAGAACTCAGATATGCATCATACCACTAATTTTCTGTCCTGGACATTTTCAGTGCACAAAATGAGCAGTCTGAAAGAGTTAATGCTGCCACTATTTTGTGTGCTGAGCTATTTAATGATAAAAGTGGAAATGGTGAAGGCTCTGGAATCAAGTGGACACTGCAGTGGGACAAAGAATCCTACCCCAAAAGACTGATTCCACAGGGAGTAGGCAGAAGGTCTAGATGGTTTTCAACCTGCAGGGAACAGGACATGTGGAGATTTAATTAGTGACAAATGCAGCATCGTTATGGGCATTTTTCATTGACTGCTAAGGAAGGGAATCAAGCATGTGTGCGAATGTCAAGAGCAAGGTGACGTCAATTATTTATTCATGCATTTATTCATTCCTAGCTTAGAAACTCAGACTAAAGAAACAAACAGTTTACAGGATCCATTCACTTACCTGGCCAGCTAAATCAATAAGTCTGGCCCTAATGTGAACACCATAGAGCTTAACTTCAGCATCTTCGGTACTAATAAGTCCTGGCTTAATCTTCGACAATGGATCATCAAGTCCCATAACATCGTCAGTAGCTGTTAGAAAATAAAAATAATGCCAGGAAATTCAAACATTACAAGCAGAACAAGATAACACAAAACAAAGAAGCAATCTCTCTGAAATGCAGGTTGCTGAGGGTCTTCAAACAAAACCTGATCGCACAAGCAGGTGGTGTAATGAAGCAGGAGCAGTCGTTAATGTATCAAAGTCAACAGTGACATGGTTTTCACTGAATAACTATATTTTAAACACATCAACATCAACTGTAAGTCTGTGTTTGGAGATCATGGACAGAACTCGTTCAGTGAAGTATCTAGGAGTGATCACAGTCTTGCTTTTTATGAGCATGACAACAACATGATAATGAAGACAAAGAAAGGTTTGATGGTGCTAAGGATAATGGTTGCAATAAACTGTGAGCAGCGTCGCTTTTTTTTTTTTTTTTACCAAGGTCTGATCCTTTCTGTGATTGAGTACGCTGTGGTGATTCTGACTTAGCTGTACACAGACAGAGAAACAAGATCAGATACAGAGTGAGGCCATGTTAATCATACTTGGATGTGCAAAGAATACAACACGCAGGGCTAATATGTTACCTCCCTTGATATTTCAACCATGAAAGTGAGAACAGCAATCTGCTGAGCATGTGCATTTCTGTGTATCAACCATCCACTGAACAGTGAGATTCACAGGAAGAAGGCTAGCAAGTTAAACAGAGGAACATTCTTGGTGGCTCAGGCTGAGGAGATTATTCAATAAGTTTGTTCAACTGCGGACATAGAAACTGGTAAGGAATGGGTACGAGTGCTAGAAGAGTGGTGTTAATACTTTTCAGTCTGTATAAAAATGGACAGAGAATGCAGACAAGGCCTGTTGGTGGTTGAGACAGAAGTTCAAGCCTTAGTTCTAAAAAAATTTTGCTGATGGAGGTGTAGTTAACCACACTGATGTTTTCATCATTTGACAAAGTTCATGGGCTTTGGTGGTTCTAATTTGAGGAAAAACTGTAAAAGAAGATTGTGAGGCATTTGCTTCAACTACAAGCAGTCTGATTATTTACTGCTGCCATTAAACTGTGTGGTGAGCACTATTCTGTGTGGTGAGCACTATTCTGTGTGGTGAGCACTATTCTGTGTGGTGAGCCCTATTCTGTGTGGTGAGCCCTATTCTGTGTGGTGAGCCCTATTCTGTGTGGTGAGCCCTATTCTGTGTGGTGAGCCCTATTCTGTGTGGTGAGCCCTATTCTGTGTGGTGAGCCCTATTCTGTGTGGTGAGCACTATTCTGTGTGGTGAGCCCTATTTTGTGTGGTGAGCCCTATTCTGTGTGGTGAGCCCTATTCTGTGTGGTGAGCCCTATTCTGTGTGGTGAGCCCTATTCTGTGTGGTGAGCCCTATTCTGTGTGGTGAGCACTATTCTGTGTGGTGAGCCCTATTCTGTGTGGTGAGCCCTATTCTGTGTGGTGAGCCCTATTCTGTGTGGTGAGCCCTATTCTGTGTGGTGAGCCCTATTCTGTGTGGTGAGCCCTATTCTGTGTGGTGAGCCCTATTCTGTGTGGTGAGCCCTATTATGTGTGGTGAGCACTATTCTGTGTGGTGAGCACTATTCTGTGTGGTGAGCCCTATTCTGTGTGGTGAGCCCTATTCTGTGTGGTGAGCCCTATTCTGTGTGGTGAGCCCTATTCTGTGTGGTGAGCCCTATTCTGTGTGGTGAGCACTATTCTGTGTGGTGAGCCCTATTCTGTGTGGTGAGCCCTATTCTGTGTGGTGAGCCCTATTCTGTGTGGTGAGCACTATTCTGTGTGGTGAGCCCTATTCTGTGTGGTGAGCCCTATTCTGTGTGGTGAGCCCTATTCTGTGTGGTGAGCCCTATTCTGTGTGGTGAGCCCTATTCTGTGTGGTGAGCCCTATTCTGTGTGGTGAGCCCTATTCTGTGTGGTGAGCCCTATTCTGTGTGGTGAGCCCTATTCTGTGTGGTGAGCCCTATTCTGTGTGGTGAGCCCTATTCTGTGTGGTGAGCCCTATTCTGTGTGGTGAGCCCTATTCTGTGTGGTGAGCCCTATTCTGTGTGGTGAGCCCTATTCTGTGTGGTGAGCACTATTCTGTGTGGTGAGCCCTATTCTGTGTGGTGAGCCCTATTCTGTGTGGTGAGCCCTATTCTGTGTGGTGAGCCCTATTCTGTGTGGTGAGCACTATTCTGTGTGGTGAGCCCTATTCTGTGTGGTGAGCCCTATTCTGTGTGGTGAGCCCTATTCTGTGTGGTGAGCCCTATTCTGTGTGGTGAGCCCTATTCTGTGTGGTGAGCCCTATTCTGTGTGGTGAGCCCTATTCTGTGTGGTGAGCCCTATTCTGTGTGGTGAGCCCTATTCTGTGTGGTGAGCCCTATTCTGTGTGGTGAGCCCTATTCTGTGTGGTGAGCCCTATTCTGTGTGGTGAGCCCTATTCTGTGTGGTGAGCCCTATTCTGTGTGGTGAGCCCTATTCTGTGTGGTGAGCACTATTCTGTGTGGTGAGCCCTATTCTGTGTGGTGAGCCCTATTCTGTGTGGTGAGCACTATTCTGTGTGGTGAGCCCTATTCTGTGTGGTGAGCCCTATTCTGTGTGGTGAACCCTATTCTGTGTGGTGAGCACTATCCTGTGTGGTGAGCACTATTCTGTGTGGTCAGCCCTATTCTGTGTGGTGAGCCCTATTCTGTGTGGTGAGCACTTGCACTATTCTGTGTGGTGAGCACTATTCTGTGTGGTGAGCCCTATTCTGTGTGGTGAGCACTATTCTGTGTGGTGAGCCCTATTCTGTGTGGTGAGCCCTATTCTGTGTGGTGAGCCCTATTCTGTGTGGTGAGCCCTATTCTGTGTGGTGAGCCCTATTCTGTGTGGTGAGCCCTATTCTGTGTGGTGAGCCCTATTCTGTGTGGTGAGCCCTATTTTGTGTGGTGAGCCCTATTCTGTGTGGTGAGCACTATTCTGTGTGGTGAGCCCTATTCTGTGTGGTGAGCACTATTCTGTGTGGTGAGCACTATTCTGTGTGGTGAGCACTATTCTGTGTGGTGAGCCCTATTCTGTGTGGTGAGCCCTATTCTGTGTGGTGAGCCCTATTCTGTGTGGTGAGCCCTATTCTGTGTGGTGAGCCCTATTCTGTGTGGTGAGCCCTATTCTGTGTGGTGAGCCCTATTCTGTGTGGTGAGCCCTATTCTGTGTGGTGAGCACTATTCTGTGTGGTGAGCACTATTCTGTGTGGTGAGCACTATTCTGTGTGGTGAGCCCTATTCTGTGTGGTGAGCCCTATTCTGTGTGGTGAGCACTATTCTGTGTGGTGAGCACTATTCTGTGTGGTGAGCCCTATTCTGTGTGGTGAGCCCTATTCTGTGTGGTGAGCACTATTCTGTGTGGTGAGCACTATTCTGTGTGGTGAGCACTATTCTGTGTGGTGAGCCCTATTCTGTGTGGTGAGCCCTATTCTGTGTGGTGAGCACTATTCTGTGTGGTGAGCACTATTCTGTGTGGTGAGCACTATTCTGTGTGGAAGGCTCTATAGCTGCAACGTCCAGGCTTTGTTTGTGTTTGTTGTATTGTGAAGCTCGCTGATCTACTTTTCGTTCGGTTTTATATCTTTCCATGATTATGGAGGTGATGGTGGTAACAAAAGCAATGATGTGGCTAGAGACACAGAATTTCACTTTCTAAACGATTCCATAAGAAAATAGTTGGAGTTTCTGAGGAAATCTCACCTGACAGGAATTAGTTTCATTTTTGTGCCAGGACACTCTGAGGTAGGAGGGAATGAATGAGCAGACTGGCTTGCTGGCAGGGCTATGGTAGGTATAGGAAAAGCAAAGGACTGGGTTGACATTCTCAATGCTCTCATGGAGGCAGGACAAAAAGTTGATTCAGGAGATGACGGTGTGTCAGCAACACTGAAAAGACTACAAGAACTTTAGGTCAAAAGATGTGTCGCCAAACACGAACACTATAGAGGTAGCCAAGAAGGAATAGTAAGCCAACACAGAACCAATGCTATCAGTGGCCACACCCTTGGGATATACTGAAGATGGGATCTGAGCGCTTATGTGCAGTGAGGATAATCTGTTGATTAACTAACTAAAGAACCAATATCTAAGAACAAATAAATGTGAATCATATAGAAGGTCACCGACTGCACAGTTAACTGTTAGATTTTTACAAAAAATGCTAGCACAGAAAAAACATGTAATGCAATGTAGACTTTATAAGGATTATCATCATTGCACATCAGGCATATCCATAAGTACTCCAATCACCTCCTATGTATACTTTTGAGTGTTTAATCTAATGACTTATGTTATTTATTGCTTGATGTTGCAACTGTGAGCTCCTGCATGGTTTTCCAGTCATGCTGTTCTAGTTAGTACATCTAGGCTTTGCATCCATGTCAGAGAGAAATGAAGACAACAGGGCAGGTAGGTAGTTGTACTCCACCAGAACATCACATAAGCGATAAACACCCGGTGACACAAAGTTCCACCATGCGGATGAGGATCACCCGTAAAGAGGTCCCAGAAACCCCTTTCAGCCATGAGGCCATATATTTATATTCAGGGCCCCCAGCAAAAGCCAGGGTGGGGCTTCAAATAACAAAAAAATGCATCCCACATGGGATTATCGATTAGTTGTGCAGACAACATAGAAGAACAAAACTAAGAGAAAATAACAACTGAAACCTTACTTGCAGTTTCCAAAGCTTCATGAGCTATTTTATTGTCAATCTTGTTAATTATTTCCACAGGTTTAACCACATCCCCTCTGATGGTAAACTCTACCAGATAGCGAACTCTTTGTTGATTGACTGCATATACCACAAACTCATCATGCTGAAAATTTAAATAAATCTGTATAAATATGTTTTGTATTGTATTAAGCAGGTTATTTCAAAAATGTGTATTCTCAAACTGTTGAATTTCATAACACCATCATCCTAGTGCTCTGGATTAACTTTATTGATGACATTTTAACATGCAACAAATGCACATCATACAGCATCATTTCTTTTATCTGCCTTTGCTACCACTGATCTTTCCAATGATCTTTATGCTCTCAAATGCTTCTCTTTACTATATGACTGAAGAACACTTAATCTTTTTTCTTTGCTATTGCATAAAATGTTTTATTTTCATTACCTTCTTCTAGACAATGGTTGATAGGCAACACTGAATGAATAAATCAATCAATCAGTCAAGAATTGACATCACTGCACTGGGACATTCCCACACGTGCTTTGTCCCCTTCTTCAGTAGCCAATAAAGAGTTGACATGCTAATAGTACCAGTTGAAACCTGATTAAATGTGCACCGCTGTTTCCTGTTCAGTAATGAATATCTTCCAAAACCTCTACACCACCCCCACCCCCTCACCACATTGAATTATTCATTCAATGTATTTATTCCCTGTCTGTTCTTTTGCACTGTCCCTATGATCCAACAGAGCCTTAACCACATCTGCTTTATCATACAGCAGCTCACTCCCAGAGGAGCGGCAGCAGCCAATCTATCATCTTGCTCTTTACCTCACACACCTGAATTTTCTGAAAAAAAATCCATGATTTGCTCTTGATCTGGCTCTTATCATGGGATGCAAGGCACTCTATGCACAGGACACCAGTTATCGCACAGAACACCATTTATCGCACAGGACATAAGTTATCGCACAGGACACCAGTTATCGCACAGGACACCAGTTATCACACAGGACACCAGTTATCGCACACAACACCAGTTATCGCACAGGACACCAGTTATAGCACAGGACACCAGTTATCACACAGGACACCAGTTATCACACAGGACACCAGTTATAGCACAGGACACCAGTTTTCCGCACAGGACACCAGTTATAGCACATGTCACCAGTTATCGCACAGCACACCAGTTAACACACAGGACACCAGTTATTTCACAGGACACCAGTTACGCACAGGACACCAGTTATCACACAGGACACCAGTTATAGCACAGGACACCAGTTATAGCACAGGACACCAGTTATCACACAGGACACCAGTTATCACACAGGACACCAGTTATAGCACAGGACACCAGTTATCCGCACAGGACACCAGTTATAGCACATGTCACCAGTTATCGCACAGCACACCAGTTAACACACAGGACACCAGTTATCACACAGGACACCAGTTATCACACAAGACACCAGTTATGTTAAAACCATAATCTATTTTCTCTCAAATATGTCCTCTTTATGTTACACTGTGGCAGTTCCAGTAGCCAACTCTCAAAGATTTCACACCCAGGATATCTTTTTGATCTAACTTTTCAGACACCTGCCCCCCCCCCCCCCCCCACCCACATCTTCCTCTTTCTTCTTCCATCCCCCTGTCAACATTTTCTAATTCCTAATCTATCTTCATTGGTCAATAAAGAAAGTATCAAGCACAGTGCATGAACTCCATAGCTCTGGAGATATTTATTCTTTATAGTTTTTTAAACCCACATTTATATGTAATAATGTGAGGGTAAATAAATGGCATAACTAGAATGTCTTTGCATTGGAACCCACAGGGGCATAGGAATAAAAGAAGGCCAAAAAACACATGGAGAAGAGAGCTGGAGAATGAGGTTAGAAAGAGTGGGAGGACATGGGGAGAGCTTCATGTAATGGCGAAGGATAGAATGACTCGGCGTGAGTTGGTTGAGGGCCTATGCTCAATTGGGGGATAGAAAGGCAGAAGAAGAAGAAATAAATGGTCACCTAACAAGTGGTCCGCCGATCGTTGCCAAAATAGTGAAATGTAGTTATTAAAAAGAAAAACAAATTAAATAAATAAATGATTTTGTATAAATCTTTAAAAAAAACAAGTCGTGTTGAATGTGTCAATAGGAAATGTTTGTCAGGGATCAGTAAATGAGGAGATACAAGGAAACAACACTGGACTCGACAATCTTAACCGATCGAATGATATAATAATTTTTTTAAAAACTTCAGAATAATTCAACAACAGATTTGATGACTGCAATACCCCAAACAATGTAATGTTATTCCTTCGAGATCCTTTTAAAATCCCTCCTGCGGGTGATTTTTCTTTCAGTGCTAAGAAGCTGATATCTTCTGTTGATGAAGGTTCTCTGCAATTAAAACTTGTGGATATCCAATGTTCCAGCGCAGTGAATGAAAATTTTCAAAAAATTGGTACCGCCAAGTTTTGGTACGAAAGGATTCAACAGGAACAGTTCCCGAATACGAGAAAAGTTGCCAATTTCATATTCACCATATCTGGCACAACTTTCACTTGTGAATCAAGCTTTTTACAAATGAATGTCATTAAGAGAAACAGTCGGAGCTCACTGAGCAATGATACGCTGCAAGACTGCATGAGAATGCTCTAACTCAGTTCTTCCAAACCTTTCTTAGTCAGAATGACTTTTTTCAATTACAATTTTTCCACGGCTCCACAACCTAAGTAAAAGTATGATTATTCGTATGTAAGAGATTTAAAAAAATAAAACTTGTGTATCTTCGAATATTTTGCGCCACCCGTGTGAAGAGGTCGCGGCTCCCCTGGGCACTGCGCTGCACAGTTTTAGAATGACTGTTCTAACTTAACACCAGATTAGCTCAAAAATGAAAATGCAGAATTTCCCATTAATTACATTTTGCATCGTTATTTATTTTGGCTTTTTCTGCAGAATATGAAACCAACTGTGGACAGTTATTATTATTTTTGTAACAATGTAATGGAAGTTACAAAGGCAACATTTATTTATGATCCCAACGACGAGTTGGAAATACGTGTATTTCAATTAAAATTGTTCCCTGTGTGGGTTCAGGGGACCTATTGTGGGGAAACGAGAATAGACCCACTGCCTACTTAAAAGAATGTTGCAAGAGTCGACTAATTGGGAGATTTCTTCGAAGTCGGAGTACATCTGCCTGAGAGCCAAGGAACCAACAGTCTGCATGCAAATGAGTAAGACATGTAAAACGAATGTTTACCCAACACTCAGTTTCTGGAACAGGACAAGAGTCCAGAAGTAGACGAACATACAGGACTTTCCGCCGGAGTTTACAGCCGGTGAATACAAAAAAGAATAATTAAAAGTGAATATTCAATAATTATTACAGAAGATTGTAGTTCACTTCACATTATAATGGTTCACAATACAACACTGCTTCATTTATATAGGCTACGTCCTAGGCATAATAGTTTTGGAGTGTAATAAATCTACAGATTGAAAATGTCAATTGTAGTGTCGGTTAAGGCCACTGGCCCGCGACGATCTGTTCAACATATTGGCCCGCGAGCAAACTTAGTTGAATAGCCCTGCTATTTATTCTAATTATAACCCAGAAGGGTTGAACAAGGTATATCTGTTCAATGACTATTAAATACCTTGTTTGAATGCTATAGTTAAATAACCGCTCAGGCATCCAAAATACTTCGATTAAATAAACATAGGTATCACCTCAAACTCTGATGATTCCTCTCTCTTCCTGCTGATGCCATGGGTGCTGTTATATCCACCAGGTGGTGCCACCAGGGTGGTGTCATGACATGTGTAATCTTTGCTGTGTCCAAGTGCCACTTCATTTATCAACAGCAAACGAGAGCCTTTGATTTTACTTGGAGATGAGTACTTCACACTTGTGCTGGAAATGTATTTGGCAGTAATTTTTTAGACAATATTTAAGATATTTTTTTATTTGCATCTTAATAATTTTTAGATGACAGTAAAAATGCATAGTTTACAATAACATGGTAAGTGTGTTCTGTTTGTCTGTCTGTTTGTATGTATGTGTGTCTGTTTGTCTGTCTGTCTGTCTGTCTCTCTCTCTCTCTCTCTCTCTCTCACCAGAATGAATTAAGTTTCGTCCCAGAGAAAATGAAGAGTAATATGGAAAAGGCTTGGAAGAAAGGGGTAACAAGACATGGCAAAGTACACAATCTGGCGTGACATTGCTAAAAGCCTATGCTGCATTGAGGGATAAAAGCCAGAATATTGGAGCCTCACAATTAAATTATTCCCAGTCAATAGTAGAGGCCTATATCCACTGTTGTCATCCTGCAGAAACTCCCTGTATGGGTTCCGGGGCCCTATTATAGGGAAGACAAGAACAGACCCACCGTCTACCCAAAAGCATGTCGTTAGAGTCGACTAATTGGGAGCTTCCTTCAAATTCAGAGTGCATCTGACTGAGAAGCAAAGAACCAGCAGTCTGCATACAAATGAGTCAGATCTGTAAATGGATGCACACGCAACAAGTTTCTGCTGGAGTTTACAGCTGGTTAACCCGATGAAGAAGAAGAAGATTTTGTAGTAAGATGGCACACACAGTTTTTGTAAAGTCATTTATGAGTTAAGAATCAACTTGATAGCACTCATGACATTCTCATCATCAGTAGCAAGAGTACAGTTTTTATTCCAATGAAACCAGTAACCATCTGAATGTACATCTGTCTTGTCCCTCCTTCGATGCAAAGTCAGAAGAAGAGTTATTATGATTACATTAGAAATAGTTGTTAATACACTTTTGTGTAGCAGAGCAGGATAAACTCTGCCAGCAGTATATGTGAGGTGCCTCCTTTTCTTCCACTTAACTGCAGGCACCTTATAACTGCAGTTAAATGAAAGAAAAGGAGGCACCTTATAGGCAGATGTGTAGTACCAGAATAGCTTCCCAATCAAGGCTAAGTCATGGTAGAAGGGTAAAAGCTAAAAGCGGAGAACAGTTATAACATTTTCAGAATTGACCGCCACCAACTGTGCTAGACAGAGGAAGCCATTATAGGCACAATGGCTAGGACACCAACCTTGTATGGACACAGCCCCTAAAGCCAGAAAATACAAAAATGCTGTGAGTTTATATGCAAACAAAACCATTTCAAGAACCTTATAACTGCAGTTAAATGAAAGAAAAGGAGGCACCTTATAGGCAGATGTGTAGTACCAGTATAGCTTCCCAATCAAGGCTAAGTCATGGTAGAAGGGTAAAAGCTAAAAGCGGAGAACAGTTATAACATTTTCAGAATTGACCGCCACCAACTGTGCTAGACAGAGGAAGCCATTATAGGCACAATGGCTAGGACACCAACCTTGTATGGGCACAGCCCCCAAAGCCAGAAAATACAAATATGCTGTGAGTTTATATGCAAACAAAACCATTTCAAGAAAGAAGACGGTCGTCAAACTTGTTAATCACCACCACACAACATGGACTATGAGAACCTCAAACTTATAATAATACAACACTAGCAGTTTTGAACATATGGCTTCCCTCTGTGGGTGCCTTGGTCCAGTGTGCAGAGACAAAAGAATATATCCACTGGCTCCTAATGAGCTTGTCATAAAAGGTGAATAATTAGGGGTATGCTGACTTATGTTTTAGACTGAAAGGCACATACATCACAGCCGAGCTCTAAACCAAATAACAATGTATTAAACCTGCTTTTAAGAGGAGTAGGAGAATGAGCAGGAGGATGAGGAGAAGGAGAAGAAGAAGAAGAAGAAGAAGAAGAAGAAGAAGAAGAAGAAGAAGAAGAAGAAGAAGAAGAAGAAGAAGAAGAAGAAGAAGAAGAAGAAGAAGAAGAGAAAGAAGAAGGAGGAGAAGGAAAAAAGAGGAGGAGGAGGAAGCAATATTGCTCTAAGGTACCTGGCAGAATTGGCAAAGTAGATACCACTTCCGAGGTTCCCTGCATCACTTCGTTTACCTCCAAAATCATCAACAACAACCTTAGGCAAAAGCAAGCCTCTGAAAATATTATTAAATTACAAACTCATCAGATTTAACTCACTTTGTTTTTAAAAACTGGAACAATGTTCAATGACATTATTCTGTCTTAACCTCTAAACATTTTGCAATTTAAAAAAAACAATAATAATCAAAATGAATGATTTTTAATAGTTTTTCACAACAAACTATCATTTTATTTTAATGACCATGGCTTTGATAAACAGTGTTATAATAAATTTATGTCATATATTTTACAATTATGAACATTAATCATAATGAACAAAACTATGCAAGAAATTATACAAATCATACAAGAAAATATTTACATTCAAGAAATAACCAATGAAATCTTCTTCTTCTTCTTTGAGTTCACCAGCTGTAAACTCTGGCGGATAAAATGAAATTAAATGCAGACTGTGTAAATTAAACCACTTATGTTATGCTAGTGAATATTTTTAAATGCCGTTAACCCTTTTGCCCTGAGAACTCAAAAAAATAGGTCACGACCTCATTAGAATTCCTGGAAAATAATATGTAAAAGCAATAATATTTGTTACATACAGGTCACTAATAAATTTGTTTAACATTTATTTATTGGTATTTTAAAATTATTATTGAAAATATATATAGAAATATGAAAGATGTAATCAACAAACATGAACGGGGTGAATTAAATTTAATACACACCTTGAGGCCTAAAAAAACATGTAACGGGTTACTCATGCCATGACCCCCTGACCTTTACCATTAACGCTTATGAGAAAATCTGACATCATTTTGACTTTAAAAAAACATTAAGCACAAAGAGAAACCCCTATACAGTCTATTTTTTGTTAATTTATTCATATTATGACCTTGTAAACATTAATGCAGGCATGAACTCAGCTAACTACATTAACTATGTGTCTCGTAAACAGCTCACAATAGCCAAGTCAGAAGTGACATTTACAGGGGACTAGTTCCAACTGAAAGTGTCAATTTTTTGGCTTCTTAGGGCAAAAAGGTTAATAAAATGTGTTATTTTTAAATTTTTTTTCTCTCTAAATTAAATATGAATACAGTTTATGTTTTTTGTTTCTGTAACTTCGCATGTTACTTTGTAACATGGCATGGACAGGTGTCAGCACACAAAATGATACATGCAGTTGCAGACAGCAGGTTGTGAAGAGGCATGATCACCCACGCCAGTCGGCAAGGCACTTAAATGATGATGATGAACTTTGCATTCTAAAATGTAAGGCCCACTACTCTAATACCTGGATAATATTCCTACAAAGTTCTCCACCTTTGATGAGTGAAACAGAAGTTGCTTTCCATCAAGATCATGACGGAAGTCTAGGTCCTCTGCTTGTCTCCACACTTCAAAAACATTTAATATCCTCAGGTCTTGGGATGGCCTTAATGAAATGGCAACACAAAGGTTACACTTTAATATTTCTTTAAGTCATTTAATGGTGCAATTTGAATTTTAAGTGACAAGAAATAAAAATTTATTCTGTACACTACTGTTAGACTTCTTAGTAATCTTATTAGTAATTTAAAAAACAGTATCCTGTTCAACCTATACTGGTTTTGATTGGAATATACATAATTTATTTTTTCTGTTTCTTTACTGGATATTTATGACTCGATGTAGAAATAAATTTTGACCAATGCATGCTGGCTTGCTCAGTGATGGATAAGCAAGCAAGAGAAGATCAAGGTTGGGTATATACGGAAACAGTGGATCCATTTGAAACAGTGATTCGCAAAATCATCTTCAATTTTTTTTTAGTTTATGCTGGTGTGAAAGGCAAAGAGAGAGCAAATGCCCTGGCTGGCACTGCAACCATCAAGAATGGGCCATCTACTGGCTTGAGTGGGTACCGGGTGCAGTCCCGGGAAGTAGAGGCGGCCGGCGTGATGCTGACCACATCACCCATCTTGTGCCGATTGACTTTAAAAATATAGGTCTAGCCCTATATGCCCTATACGCCTAAAGGTGTAAAAAGAAGTGAAATTAAACAAATTGAATACCTGTACCTAGAGAGAATGATGCTGCTGAGAGTGTTCATGAGCTCCGGGCACTGCTCAAGACTCAGGGAAAAGGCAAGACAAGTAGTTAAACAGATGCTAATAGGCTTCATCTCAGCACAAAGACTCTTTGCTAGCCATTGAAGAGGCAGACAGAGATCAAATGGGCTTGTCCTGAATGCTGAGACATTGTATCTCTACCTAGATGACCCAGATATTGCAAATGATGCCGTATTTATTTTACTCACACACAAAATCATATCCCCTGCAACCTTTTTATATTTAAACAAAACAGTTTACATCAAACCCACCAGAGAAACTCTGCGTTGGCTGCTGAAGATGAGGATGGAGCACACATGGGAATGCTCCGAGGGCTGTGATGTCAATTCTGGACTCAACTCAACTCAACTCAGTTTAATTTTTAAAATACTTACATGCTTCCATTTCATCTTTAATAAGATCAGTTCAATTCACTCAGCATTGCTCCATTGCCACATTTATCACATGTGCCACAGGTTGCCAACACCTGTTCTAACCATTCATATTTAATTTATCAGAGCATTTACATTTCATCACATTCAAAGGTCTTGCTGTCTATCTCCTCTTCCATACACATTTTCTGCAAATAACAACTAAATGTGATAACAACTGCTATATATTTTACTCCAAAGGATCGCATCAACACTTACCCTTCAATAGTTGACTTCACAAGATCTTCTATTTCCTCTCTTTGTCTTCCAGTTATATGAGTAATTTTGCAGCGTAGGGCAGCATATTTCGCTTCAACGCATGCTCGAGTTTCATAGTCTGTCATTTCACTAGCTGATATCATGTCTCTAATTAGCTGTAATTTACAGTTATGTGTTATAAAAAACGATAAATAGTTTATGAATGTTGGCTGGTTAAATGTGAAAATTGTTATCTAAAAACACATTTCTTTTTAATTTAGGTATACTTTAGTCTAGTGTTCCCAAAGTGGGCACTACCACCACCAGGGAGGCACTGGGACGGTCCAGGTGGCTATGGTCCAATTTCTTTTTGTTCTGGGGGGGAAGGGGGGGGGGAAGAGTGTCAGAGCCTCAGGTACAGTTAGAAGGATTGAAAGAAAATAAGGCAGCGGTGGGAAAAAGGAAGTGGAAAACAAAGGGAGAAAAATGTTTTAACTGTTTGTTACCTGTTTCAATGCTATGTAACAGATTAAATTTGTAGTGATTATTTAATTTGAAAATAAACAAAGAAATTATAAGATATTTAAATAATGTTTATCCTTCTCACTAACACTACTTTAAATGCTGTTCTTGGTTTTTCTTTTAATAATTCCTTTCACATACATTCCACAATGTGTAGAGGGAGGGTCTGGATAATTTTTTTTTATTGGTTGAATATTGAATTAAGAATTGACATAACAGCACATGGGACACACCCATAAGTGCTCAGTCCCCATCTTCAGGAGCAAGCAAAGAGTATCAATTCCGATGGTACCAGCAACTGTCTGATTGTATATCCATCTCATTCTTCCCCTGAGTGTTGAGTGTCGGCCAGATACCCTGGTAACTCCTCGCATCGCCATTCTCCTTAGACCGTAATGATCTGTCTGCTCCTTCACACTGTTCACTTGTTCCCAAGGGCCCTAACAATATCTAACTTGTCATACATCAATTCACCACCCTGCTCATTTCCCAACAAACCGGCATAACCTGGACCAAATGTTTGATGGATGCTAACTGCCCGCGACCATTGAAGTGATACTTGCCACTCTGCACGAAGCATGCCTGTTTTCACCTTTCTCAATATGCTCTGTGAGTCAGTTACAGTCACGGCATGTGTGTACAGCTGATTCTTTTTTTAATGGCTAAAAACTTATGGGAAGCACTGCTTCAGACATTTACCTTGTATCGATGCTAATCCCAGTGATAGCTGACTTCAAAATTTGTAAATACAAAAGTACCATCCGAGGCAAAGTTGGAAATGATGTTATCAGACAGACTGTGGGAACAACACCCAAGCAGCAAATTCAGTGAGAAACAGAAGATAAAATGGTTTGGTCATCTAGTAAGAATGCAGCCAAAATAACTACAAACACAGGTGCCACACATGAAAAGATCTGAAGTGAAAGCAAGAGGCCGCCCTAGGAGAAGATGATTGATGACATTAAAGAGCTTCTACATGGACATGGAATTAAATAGCAATTGCTGCCCATCAAGCAATGGATCATAAACTGTTCCTCCCTCCATATCCTCCTTCCCACACATAACGGCAGAAGTGTAAATTATTTATGATGATGACTCAGTGGTTGAGGTGGTCAATACCTTGCTGGCTAACTTTACTTCCTACAGCATTTCTCAACATCAATTAAAGATTGGCAAGCAACGGAAGTTAAATGCATTTGAAAACAAATGCCTCAGGAAAATAATGAACACACAATGGGATGAATTCAAGAGGGGTGAAGAAGTAAGTTAACTGTCTGGGCAACCACTAGTATCAACAGTCATAAAACAGAGAAGATGGCACTATATTGGATAAGAAAAGAAGGGACAAACAGAGAATCACCAAACAATGGAATAAGAAACTGAGAAAATAAGGACGTCTAAGAGAAACCCGAAAGCTAACATTAATGAGAGAAGCCTCAGGTGTTGGACCGGATTAAATCCGTGATATTCACGTGATTGCACAGGACAGGACACAATGAAGAAATAGACTGCAAGCCCTATATAGTAGGGACATATAAATACACAATAAAACAATGAATGAATTTAAAACTGGGTCTTCCTAGAAGCCCAGATCAATTAAAACTCAACCTCAGTGTGGATAACCAACTGACTGGCTTTCAAGTGTGGTAGCCAATGCACTACTGCAGCTCCCTCCAGATTTGTAACCTCCTCATAATCTCAGTCTAAGAAGGGTTTTGTGATGGATTGTTTGTGTTGGCACTTCTAACAGTTGCCTCAAGCATTTAATGTATTTGTATGCTATTGGCTTTACTAAGACTGCAGTTTGTCATTTATCCCCCCCCCCCCCCCCCCCCCCAACGTTGGACAGCAATGGACATTCTGTATGATTTTTATTGTCACAGGAAGACAGCAATAATATGGGGACCTATTTGCTGCATTTACTTGATTATCTGAATGCAATTGGTCTTTTTCTTGTCTTCTATATCATCATAGCATTTTTCTGACCTCTACTTTTGTCAGCAAGATATACTTTTAGGAATATTGGGTATATAGTGCTAAATCTATATTTTTTTTTATAGACAAACCAGCACTCAGTGCATGATGTGGGTAGTATCATGCCAGCCACCTTTACTTCCCTTTTCTTCTGATACCCATGTCAGGCTAGGCTGATTTTAGGACCCTAGGTAAAAATTTTCAAAACCCTTGCTATGATAAAGGTTTTATCACATGAAACACTGAGTCAGGAGGCAAGAGGGCTAGCTACTGCACTAAAGCAGCCATCTCCCTTTAAAACAACATTAAAGGGATCAAAAGATGAAAATTAAATGCATAATATCTATTAAAATATTTAAAAATAAAATCTCACCTGGCACATGTCTTGTTTCTTAACCAACCATTTCTTCATCTCATTAATGTCAATAACTGAAGTTTCATTTCTGTGGTGTAAAATTGAGTAGAACTCTTTTGTCAGACCATCAATAATTGTTTCAGAACTTGATAACTTGACTGCATCACGAACTTTGACTAAGATGGCTTCAGCTTTCTCAATCTAATTTCATCAACAACAAAAATATGGTTTTCAGTGAAATTACAACAAAGAAAATCACAAAAGCAAATGATATTCACTAGTCTTACATTGTTGTTACTTCCAACTTCACTTGAAGACAAGTAAAAATAATTGTCAGAAAGAAATGAAAGTGCTCAGTTACCCTTTAGGAATTATCAGATGGAGACTTTTGCATTTTTATTAAAATAAATATTTTTTTTTTCAAACTTCATATTGTCTAGTATCCAAGCCAATGTGAACAATAACTCTTAATCTACACTGTTGTTAAAATGTAGAGGATAGTAAAATTTGAAGTTCTTAGACCAAATGATTTGCCCTGACTGTGTGCAGCATATATGTTTATGTAGTATACTCTTAGAAGAATCTACTGGATTCTTGAACATCCTTTAGACCTTCTTCTAAGGCCTCTCTTGCCTATCAACTATTTTGGGTTATTCAGTATTGCATAACTTATGTGTTAATTGTACAAGACTGTAGATTGTTTAGTTTAATACATTTTACTAGCAGCAGCAGCAGTAGTTTTAAATTTTTTTAGAAAATCCTGTTCAACACTCAGGGTTATAATTGGAACCATCATCATGTAGCAGGTCCTTTGCAGAACGTCGCTCTCATCAAAGTCTGCCTGAAAGAAACTCGGTCTCTTGCCAGTTCTCCCGCCTCATGTACTTTCATACTCAAGCAGTCACTTATATCCTGCGCCCATCCTGGGCATGTGATGATGATGACGATCATCATTATGATGTCATAATAACCTCACTTTGCTCTAAGTGGCTGTCGCAACAAATGCCTGTTTCCTTGTGAAACAAAGCAGTTAATTCTTTATTTTGTTCGAATTAAGTGATTACCTCACTCCAGATTTTAAAAAAATTATCTTTGCCCGAAATAATGACTTGAAGTGAGTAAAATATATAAACTGAAAATTTTATTTAATTGACATCTGTGAAGAAGCTGTATACTTTATGCCTGCCTGTCTGCTTGTGGGCTAGGGGTTCAATCCCTGGATATTTATAAAAACTGACCATGACTTCACATCTTCTTCTTCTTCTTCTTCTACTTTATTTTCTTCTTTTCCTCTAGTTCCTTAGTGTAGAGTTTCACTGAATTGTGTAAGTGCATTCCTTTTTCAATGACATTTGGAAAATAGTCATTTTTAAGATTCTTACACAATGAAAAGGTTTTTAGTAGATCATTAAAACATGGAATAAAGAGGCAAATTATTTAAATTACCTAATAAAAAACATGATTATAACTATGACATAAACATTACAAAAATATGGAATTGCGTTTTTTTTAAAAACTGTGAAAAAATTCAACAAAACAAGAATACCTGCTCTATTTTGATAGCAGTGATGTCACCCAGTAACCATGTTACCTCAGTCATGGCCTCAGCCCACACTTGCTCCACTAACTCTTTCACTGCCTCAGAGCAGCCACAATGCACATCAACCATTTCTGACATCAGCTGCAAGCATTGGAGCATTCTTGCAGTTGCACAAGAAACACAGATATTGTGAGATCAATTCTCACTTCCAGTTAGTACAGCGCATACACAATTATAAACATTTGTTTGTGTTTCAATAACTCCTGGTGTAAACAGCCTCAATGGTGGTCCGCCTTTTTTTGTCCTTTGAGGCGAATGGCGCAAATTTGCTACTTTTGCTCACTTTTAATGTGAAAGTTTCACAAAATGGGATCTGAACCATGCAATGGAGTATATGCATGTGAGTTCAGACTTCTCTCAGGATGTTTTCAACGTCCGATGGTGACTATTTACCCATACAAAACAACCCATAGACTTGTTAATCAACATAGAACTGGTACTACTAGCCATCAGATGTTGGGGTTCATACTGAGGGGAGGATCTGAGCACCTATGGACATGTCTGGCGTGCAATGATGATAACCCAACTAACTAACTAACTTTGTTTCAATAGTGAAAACAAACATAAATTGCAGAGTTTATCTTTGTCCATATTCTGTTTTGTGCCGAAAGGCCTCACAAGTCAACAGATGATTGGTATTCTCTTCTTCTTCTTTGCACTCAGTTTTGTATGCTCAAATCAAACCATCAGGTGGGTTACCTCTATGAACTTGCATGTCAGTAGCA